GAGAGAGAGAGAGAGAGAGAGAGAGAGAGAGAGAGAGAGAAAGAATGTGTATATGCGCATGCGCGCACGCGTATCTTGAATAAAATAGCAAAGTATCAAAATATATTTTTGTATCTATACGTTTGGTCTATATCCTGAGCTACTAACAGAATGGAATTCTCTATGATAAATTCTTTTTCGTACATTAAATAAAAATGGAAATTTTAAAAGTAGAGAATAACAGTTAAGTCTATATTTTGTATGGACGTTTTTTGCAGTCTATTAATATAATTGTTCACAGATCTTTCAATCTTTTCTTTAAGTTATTAAATCGATTTACTTAATTAAAATAATAATATATTTTGGTTCTAATTTGTTTTTTCTTTCTTTTTTGCTTAAAAAATGTAATCTTATTTGTATTAACAGAAAAATTTTCAAACACGTTGACGTGATAATGCGAATAGAATTTGCTTCAAATAATTGTATTACAAATTATGCGATTTAAATCGAATATACTTGAAGTTTGTTAATTTTAGCTTTCTCTTCTTCGGATTCATCTCGACAAATCATAAGTGTATGAGAGAGACCACAGGTAACAGCAGTAATGTACAAACCTTCTAGTGCTTTCACTTCCATCGGAGTAGTTGAAGATTTACGCATTTCACCGAAACCCTGTAATTATTAATCGAAGAAGAGGAATTTAGTTTAGAAGTCTGCAAAAATCTGTTAAAGGATTTATTCATTATACAATTATTTACCAATTCACCGAAAGTAGGACTAGCACCCCAAGCAATAACTGAATCATCTGCTGCAACTACTACACTAGTTTGAGAACATCCAACACATCTAATTTCCCAGCCAGATAAATCTTGAATTGGTTTGGGATACATATTCGCTTCTCCAGTACGTTTTGTTTGTCCAAACATTAAAGCTGATCCATGTACATTAATAGCAATACTATAAGTACTGCCACAATATACAGCTCTCACACCACGTGAAGGAGGTTCCAAAAATTTAATTAAGCGAGGCACTAATTCATCTCGTTGTTCATTATGACCTAAACGACCAATACCTCCAAAACCCCAGGAAAAAGCACGATTTTTACTATCAATTGCAACTGTATGATAGTGACCACAACTGAAGTCTGTGATCTCAACACGATCTAAAGGCGTAACATGGCCATCTTTCGCTCTTTCAATATATAAGACGATCCTTTTAGGCACTTTTTCAAAATGAAATGCCATTTTTGTATTTGTTATGAAATATTTTCCATCTGTGTTATGACCCAATGCTCCATATTCGGGACTTCCAAATGAGTGCAGACCACCTTTAATGTCTAAAATCATTGAAAATTCTGCACCACACCCTACTTTTACTATTGGTGGACCAGAATATTTTACTTTAGTGGCAGAAATAATGCAGGCATCAGATTTTCCAACACCACATTGACCTAATTTATTATCTCCAGCAGCAAATACAATGCCACGACTTGTTAAAAATAAAGTATGATTACGACCACAAGATGCTCCTATGACAGTATGACCTTTTAATGCTGTAACTTCTGTAGGCTCATCTCGACGTTTTGTATCACCAATACCTAATTGACCTGCAAAAATTATTTCATTAAAGTTTATGAACAATTTATTATAAAAAATATAAATATATATAAATAAAAAAATATATTTTTAACATGTTGAAATTAAAATTTGTTAATTCAACAAACACTACTTACTAACAAAAGTTATATCTTAATATATAATTTAAATTTTTAATTCACATTTACTTACAGAATAATAATTAATTATAAGAAAAAGTTTATTTATCTTTCATTCATTTACCTTTATCATTTCTACCAAAAGCTAAACATCGATTATCTTCAGTAACAATAATACTGTGAGAAGCAGCTGGACCAGAAGCAACTAATCTGACTTTTGAACCATTCAAATTTTTGAAAGTATGTGGTGTCCATAAACTGCGGCCTACATTAGCTTTCACACCTTTTGGTGGAGCTTTACGACCTGCCATATCCCAATTTGTAAGACCACACATTAATAATGTTCCAGGCTTACCCCATCCTCCCTATAATAATCATATATAAAAAAATAAATTCATTGAATATAAAATATAAAAATTATATAAAAAGTTAACATAATAAATCCAAATTATATTCTAAATCTTTTTTAGATTCTTGTCATCAAAATTTTTATTATGATAATTAACATCTAATTTAGTTTGAATATATTTATTTTATATTTTTATATTATTTATATATTTTTATATTATATTTTATATTTTTATTTTATATTTTTATATTATTTTTATATTATTATCTAATATTTTTTTTTATAAAAATAATAATTATAAAAATAAATACTATAAAAGCATAAAAAAATGACTTTGAATAATATATATTTGAATAATAAAAGATATATATATAAATAAAACATAAAAATAACAAAAATAACAAGATATATAATTAATAATCAATAAGAGTAATATTTAATCTATTGTGTTTAATTTTCTTATTATCATATTATTATATAATTTTGATTTGATAATTAATATTATATGTACTCAATTTATCAAAAATAAATAATCAAATTCAAATTTTTTCTGAATATCTTCTATCTTTACATATTACATTAAAATTCAAATATGAAAAATTTTTTTATAAGCTAGATTTGATATTATATTTGGCTTTTATATTTTTTTAAAACTAATTTTTCAATATTATAAATAATTAATTAAATATTTACAAAGAATATAAAAAACATAATGTAAAAAAAAATGTAAATAAGAATGTAAAAAATATATAATATATAATAAAAAATAATTTTTGAATCTTAATCACAAATTAATAAACTTAATAAACAATAAATTTTTATCTGAATCCCATTATTTTATCTAATTTCTATATCTTTAATTAAATCACAATCTAATTTATAAAAAATTTTACTAATGTTATATGCACAATCTTTGTAATAATATTTTGTAATTATATAAATATGATATCAGATAAACAAAATGAATTTTTTTATCAGTTCAAAAAACGCATAGCTTTGAGGTCTATCAATATTATAATACTAATATCTTTTCCATTTTTTTAGATTTAAATTTTCTGTTTACTTGGAATAACATATGATAAAGATAAAAATAATTTCACCTCAGGTGGCGGTAATTCCGGGATACTAGAGACATCGGTAAGATCATCTTCGACAGCATCTTCACCATCGACATTCGAGCCGGTTTCGGCGTCATCAACGTCTGAATCATGTTCGCTAGAGATGTCCTCTTCGTCATATTCAACTTTTCTTGATTTCGCGCGTCCTTTTTTGGTTGTTGGATTTTTACGTTTAGTCGACATATTGACTGATTTTTTTATTTCGAATTTAGTTTTTGCTGAGAAAATTAGGAATGCAAATACAATGATATTAATCAATGTAATGGCGCTGAGACTTGTACTGTTCGACAGACGGACAACAAAAATGCAGCCACCTGGCGCTCAAAAATCATAATAAAACCATGCTCCAGTGATAAGTACAAAGCAAATTCAAGTTTATGATTGTAAATAGTTGAAAGTACATTCCATGTTCCGCATATTTCGAAATGATGAAACGGGGAACGAAATGATTGATTTCGAGTCATACCAAAATTTAATTTTAATTATAAAATCAAAATTGTATTTAATAAATTTCTTTATTATATAATAATGAATTCTGAGTATCATATAAAATTTATCCATTATAATATATATATTTTTTATGTTTAAGTATTCTAAGTATATAAAAATTTATATTTGAATTAACGAAATAAATAATTATATAAGAAACAAAGTAAAAAAAAAAAAAATAATTTTAATATTAATTTAAATTATTTTATATTTTTAATTATAGTCAAATTTCTTTATGAATTACAATATTTAATTTCTAAAATCAAGATATCATATTTAATTTCTTTGTCCAAAAACTATCATGCTTAATTCATATTAATATTTGAATGACACGATTATTTCATACATTTCGTAAGTTTGCATATTTTATATTCACATCAAATCTGAAAAGTCAGTTACTTCTATCAGTTTGAAGAAGCTTTACGTCCTAAGTTTTATATTCAAAAAAAATATCTATATTTTAACGAAATATAAAGTTTTTTTTTATTTTGAAGATTTAAATATATTAAATTAAATTAATTCAAATTTACATTTACATTATTTTACTGTGATATATGTTATAAACGAAATATTAATTTTAATATATAAGAAAAATAGTAACAAGTTTATTTGGATGTAATTTAAAGTATGTATTTCTATAACATTATATTATTTTTATTATATATGTTCTTATTATTTTCTTTATTAATTTATTGTCATTTATTTAAATTATTATAAATTTATAATTTTTTATTTTTAGATTCATAAAATTAAAGAGATTAGATAAATAGTGTGAGGTTATTAACATTAGAGGTTATAATTCATTTATAGAATGACTTAACAAAAATTATAGAATTGAAAAGAGAATGAATTTTTATATATGAGAATTCAAAATTTTCAAAAATAATTTAAAAATTCAATGAATGCACATATTAATTTTATATTTTAATTTAATAATATACTTTTCTATTTCTATTTATATTTATAAATATTAAGATTTTTTTTTGTATTTTATTTTCTTTGTTCTAATTTTTTTCATTTTTTATGAAATATTTAATTAAAATAAATATTTCACTGATATAATTTTTGTAATTAAATTCTAAAATCACTTATGTCTAGAAGTTTTTATTATTATATCTTGTAATTTTAATTTTATTTTGATTACTTTTACTACTTTATTTTGAATAAATATGTATCTTGTTATTATACATTTTATTTATTATTTATTATATATTTCACGTGATTCTTAAAATTTATTGAATTGTAATTTTGAGGATTTTAAATTAATAATTTTTATTTTAGATATTTTTCATCGAAAATGGAATTTCCAAATTTAGGCAAGCATTGTTCAGAAAATAGTTGCAATCGATTGGACTTTTTACCTCTTAAGTGTGATGCTTGTTCTATAATTTTTTGTAGTGAACATATATCATACAATAATCATAATTGTCCAAGTGCTTATAAAAAAAATATTCAAGTTCCAGTATGTCCTCTATGTAATGTTCCAATACCTATTAAACGTGGTGATCCTCCAGATATTGCAGTTGGACAACATATTGATAATGAATGTCAATCAGATTTAAAAATATCTAGTCAGAAAATTTTTTGTAATAGGTAAAATATTTTTTTTAAATAAAAGTTTATATTGTTGTTTTGAAGATTGTTTATAAATTTGCTCTTTTATAAATGAAAATATGATTAAAATATTCATAAATTAAATAAATTAATTTATTTTATATATATATATAATATATATATATATATATAATTATTATATATTACATAAAAAATTATATATTTCTATATGTATTATTCATATTAGTTTTGCAATAATTATTAAATTATTTGTAATAATTATGTAAATATTACATTATTTTTAAAATATTTCTAATTTTTAATTTTTTAATAGAAATAAATTTAGTCTTAGAATAAACTTTTTATTTTTCAGAAAAATGTATTTATTTTTTTCAGTTTAATTTTATTTTGAACTTTACCTTAAAACATAAAATAATAACAATAATATTGTTTTATAATGTATACTTCAAAACAAGATTTTGTGATATAAATATTTTGTATTTTTTTAATTATTACAAAAAAGAATTACAATAAATAATTTTTTTCATTTTAGATGTTCCATGAAAGGTTGTAAAATCAAAGAAGTAATTCAAGTGCATTGTTCTGATTGTGGTAAAAATTTCTGTCTAAAACATAGACACCCAACAGATCATGTATGTATAGGTCAAAAAGAAATGACTCGAAAGAAAAGACTTGATGTTTTAGAAAATCATGTGAAAGTAAATAGAAAAAATGGTGAGATTTTCAAAAATTATCAAGGTAGCATGAGTGAAGATGAAGCTCTTGCTAGAGCTCTTCAGGCTTCAATGCAAGAAACAAATACCACTAGACAAGCACTTGAAGATGCACCTTCAGGAAATAGAGATAGATGTAGACTCTCATAAATTTTAATTTGCTATAAATTTGTATAATAGTTTTAAAATGTTTTTCAATTAAATAAATATAAGGAAATTATTATATCCCTCAGAATCTTTCTTATCTATTTGCAATAAAAAACAATCTAATAATATCCATAAATTTTTTTGTTATTTAAATATTTTATTCACTATTTAAGAAAAATTTTTGAAATTTATTTTATATTTTTAAATTATTGAAATTAGATTTAACACATATAAATATGACGCATTACATACATATGAAGCATTTATAATTTTTTAATAAGAACATTAATTTATGTATTATATAAGGGTTTCATTTTAATTTTTTCACATAAATATTTTTAAAATAATTCTTCATTTGAAAAAATATTTAAAATAAAATATAATGTTTTGTACAAAATATTTTATGATAAATATAAATATTTATAAATAAAAGTAATAGAATTATAATAGTTAAACATGTAAGTAGTTTTTAAATATTAATTCATTATTAATCTATAATATTGATTTTCTATCTTCTAAGTTTTTTATTTTTTATTTATTTTTTAATTTCAATTATATATATTTTATATATTTTATGATAAATGAATAGTTTTGAAAGACCAATATGTGAATGATTTATCTTGATATGAACTAAATAAAAATATGTATATATTCAATTTTATTTTAAGAAATACAATTATCTTAAAATCTCAATTTCATTAAAATTTTCTCAAAAAATTTCAAATTCATTCAAATTTAATTAATTAAATTAATTTTAATTAAATTTTAATTAAAATTTATGTTCATTATAAATATTTTCTACATTAATTAGAATATTTTTTCGAATAACTAATAAGTTTAGGAGATATATATCAGACATGAAAAAATTAAGATGAAATATCCTTTATACAGATTTTTATAATTATATATTTTGTACAAATGTATAAATATATGAAATTAATCTTAAAATTTCACACATTATATATGTATATATATATTATTTATATCATAATAATATTCTTTTGATTATAATAATTTGAATAAATATTAGCAACATTTGCTGCCGAATAAGCATGAT